ACTTCTGCCCAGGATAAAATATCGAGTTAATGAAGATCAGCCGTCTCATCAGATTGGTATGTTGAGACCTTGGGAATTGTGTCAATGTGTTTTTAAAAGGAGGACACATATTTAAAGGATAAGAGCAATGAAGAAATGATAGATTATCTGCAATCATTTTAAGCCAACACAGTTTAGCTTATCTTAAAAAAAAATCAGACTCTGTCCCCCACTACTGAAGAGGCAGCTGGAACTTCTTTTAAGTCTGATGATGTTTGACATGGTTTTTACATGTGAATGTATTTTCTAACCTCTTCTGACAAAAGCTGTATAGGAAAATGCGAGTAACACCCGACTATTCTGATAATAGTAGTTAGAGAATAAGATAGAGAATAAATGCCCAACCGGTGGGAAGGAAACTTTTTTCATGAAGCTCCATTGAAGAAATTTTTTTTTTTTATGTTTGGACTCCATTTAAAAAAAAAAGTGAATATCCACGTGCACATGTGCACATAGACACCCCATCAGGAAATGTAACATCTACAACTGTAGTAAAGCATTAAAAAATTATTTCTCTCAAATAGGAATTTCCCCTCGGGAAAGCTTAGATTTCAGAAACAACATATATAGTTAGAACACGTCCCAGTATCTTCTTGAAAATTTGGGCTTTTGAATCACATTTTTGTGTGGGATGAGCACTGGTGGTGTGGAGTGGAGGCAGGCTGGGAGGCGTAACTGATGACTTTGAAAGTGAAGTGCTTGTGAATCAGCCTCAGACCAGGAACAATAAACAAAGAGGCAATCCACCAGGATGTCAGAACCGGAAGAGGGGTCTGCAGGCTGCCCCGAGGGCCAGGACCGCAGCCAGGCTACGAGGCCCCCTGCCTGAGTGCACCAAAACACTCAGTAACCAAGATAGGGAATATTTTAAAAATTCAAACTGCAAATTGTCACCAGCAAAGCCCATTAACAATTCCCGGAAAATAAAAACAGAGTCTGGGTGATAAAATAATAATGCTATAATTTAGAGACCCATTGATGGGCCAACTTTCCGTAACTCCCAGCGGTACTGGGCCCAGGCTAGATTACATAGGAAGATTAAATGTTTTCAGGTTAAGGGATGACACCTGAAAAACTTCCAGTTCTGCAGGATGTACCCTAATGGGCTATCCCTGAACAAGAGGGACACTAGAAGGGAGCACCCCTCAGACCCTGAAGGGGTTGGAAATGGTAGATCCTGGCCACTACCCTCCAAGGCAGATGGTCCAAATAGACAAAGAATGATGGGGCCAAGGGGCTCCTGAGCTGGCACTGCAACTGACCCGTGAGAAGCCCAAGCTGACATTGGACATATGAGGAAAGCCTGTCCAATTCTTAGATGACACCAGTATTATTCACTCTGAACACCAGATCAGGCAAACTTGGTCACAAGACTTGTAAAACTATGGAGGTATCAGGGAAGGCCCAAGAACGGGCATTCGTAGAATCATTAGAATGCAAATTGGACGAATGCACTCTTACCCATTCCTTCCTATATGTTGTCAAATGTCCTATATCTCTGCTTAGAAGGGATGTCTTACACAGATTGGGAGCTACTATCCACCTAATGGGAGACAAACTGGAGATTGTCATTCCCCTAAACAGAGGACACAAGATGATAATGTTAATGGCTGATAAACCTCTCTAGACAGAGCAAGTTGACCTCTCTGGGGTAAATCCCAAGGTCTGGGCCCCGGAACAGGTGGGATGAGCTGCAGGAGCCAGTCCTGTGAAGCCTGGACCCATATGACCCAGTGGAAAACAGTATCCTTTCCATCGGGAAGCCCTGTCGGGCACTGCCCCTGTTACACAGGCCTAATTGACCAGGGCCTCATTAGACCCTGCCAGTCAGCCTGTGATACTCCCATTCTCCTTGTGAAGAAACCCAGTGGGGTGTACTGGGTGGTGCAGGACCTCAGGGAAGTCATTGAAGCCACTCAGGATATACATCCAGTAGTCCCTGATCCCTATACCCTGCTGGCCACTCCACCATCCACCGGAAACTGGTATTCTGTATTAGATGTTAAAGATGTCTTTTTCTGTATTCCATTAGCCCCAGAGTCACAAGAAATTTTTGGTTTTGAGTGGCAGGACCCAAACACACAACAAAAACAGTACCGATAGACAGTCCTACCCAGAGGGTTCAAAAAATTTCCCCACCATCTTTGGGGAAACTTTTGCTAAAAACTAAAAGATGTACATCTGGAGGAGGGCACCCTCCTCTAGTATGCAGACGACGTTCTGATTGGCAGCCCTACTAAGGAGTCCTCTGACAAAGATACTGTAACCACCCTGAACCACCTAGATGGTAAAGGATATAATGTGTCCAAGAAAAAGACTCAAGTATCACAAACTAGGGTGACCTACCTAGGCTTCATTCTCACAGAAGGTCAGAGAGGCCTACCCCAGGAGAGGAAAGAAGCCCTTTGCGGACAGCTTAGTGGCTTCCTGGGGATGGCTAGGTTTTTGCTACATCTGAATACCTTTATATTCTTGAGAGAAGGGGAATCGTCTTTGGGGTATTCACTCAAGAACTGGGACCCCTTATTCAGATGGTGGCTTATTTCCCTTAACATTCAGGTCAAACTGTGAAGGGACTTCCTTCTTGCCTGCCACAGCCTGCTAAAGAAGGCTGGAAAGTTAACCTTTGGTCAGCCAGTCACTACATGGACTCCACACCGGGCTTTAGTAAGTTCCAAGGGCACAGAACGGCTATTCCCCCAGAAGGTCAACTCAAGTTCAGGCTATGCTTTCAAACCCCCCAGCGGCCACCATAAAAAGCTATCACGCACTAACTCCTGCTGCCCCACCACCCACAGAAACAGGGCTCCAGGAGCATGACTGTATAGAAACCATGGACACGACCTATGTCTGCCGCCCTGACCTAGAGAGTGAGCCTCTCCCAAACGCTGAAGAGGAATGGCTCACAGATAGTAGCAGTTTTATGAGAGGGGAAAAGGTCGGTGGGACGAGCAGTGACCTCCCAAACCCAAGTCATAGAGGCCTGAAACCTACTCCCAGGGGCTTCTGCCCAAAAGACAGGGCTGATATCCCTCACCAGAGCCTTAGCCCTCGAGACAGGGGAGGTCCTGAATGTTCACAGACTCCCGGGATGCTTGTGTTCTCACACACACGCGGGGGTATTTGGAAAGAAAAGGGTATGCTTCCTGCAGACGTAAGCAGATGAAACCTGGCTTAAACATAGTGCGACTCCTAGAAGCAGTGTAGCTTATGAAAAAAGTGACAATGATTCACCGTAGGGGTCACGAAAAAGGGAATGCAGAGGTCGTAAAGGGAAACAACAAAGCAGACACAGCTGCCAAAATGGTGACCCCAAAGCCAGTAATTTGGCAACCAGCTCTCATACCTAAGAGTCCAGATCCATCCAGTTATTCCCCAGCCTATAAAGAGGAAGAATTAGACAAAGCCAGAAATGGGTGGCTCGCTAATGACCATGGGCAGGCCTTCTCTCCCCAGACTGCAGCTGGTCAAGCCATCACAGAGGCTCGTCAAGGAACTCACTACGGGGCAAGTCCTATATAATTGGTTAGTTGAGGTCATGGTAACACCTGGTGTGAAAAGTATAATCAGTCGGATAGTGGAGACCTGCCCCATCTGCACAATGAACAGCTCCAACACTGGGCCCCACAGAGGCCCCCAGATAAGGCTCATTCAGGTCAGAGGGAAGACTGGCAAATTGGTTTCACTGTCATGCCAAGAACACCAGGCAATTTCAGGTACCTCTTGGTGCTAGTGGACACATTTTCAGGGTGGACAGAGTGTTCCCCACTAGAACTGAAAAAGCAGCAAAAGTGGCTGAAGTATTTTGAAAAGAGATAATTCCCAGATCTGGGGCTCCCAGGATCCCTACAAAGTGATAATGGCCAGCATTCGTGTCTCCAGTGACAGAAGGGATAACAAGTACCTGGGAACAAAATGGACCTTGCACTCAGCCTGGAGACCCCCAATCATCCAGGAAAGCAGAGAGATCCAATCAGACCTTATGCAAACCTTAACCAAACTATACCAGGAAACTCAGGAAAATTAGGTCAAGTTACTCCCAACTGCCCTGCCCTGCATGCGGTTAGCTTCAAGAGGTAAGTTTAAGTGCACTTGAACTTATGTATGGTGGACCCATTCCCCAAGACTGAGAGAAGGGACACTTAGGCCCTTTGAAATAGAACAACTCAAGTATGCCTTCCATGTAGGAGAAACCATGAAAGCCCTCATTGCTTATGGTAACCAGGTGCTGCCTGCACCCACTGACCTGGCCCTCCACTCCTTCTAGCCAGGAGACTTGAATATACCTAAAAATCTGGAAAACTGGCAGCCTGCAAGATCAGCTCTCTCTTAAGGGGAACAGACCCTACTTAGTGATTCTAGCCACTCATTCTGCTCTAGTGCAATGAATTCCCTAGACTACTCATGTGAACCTCTCTGACCTTAAGCTTCTCTTCCAAAAAACAACAAAAGTATGACCAGGGATATTTAGGCCACAGTAGTGAGCCTTGACGTCAGGGAACACTTTTGCCTACAGGCAAAAGACCTAGAAACCTTCATTTTTAGGAAAAATTTGACATGTGGCCATTATTCTCTTGCTAATATTTGGATCATGAATCCTAAGTTGTCTGGTGTCCTTTGTCTCCAAAAGGTTAGAATGTATAAAACTCCAAATGGTGATCACGCAGGGATGCAAACAGTCAGGGCTGAGTCCTGGTGACAATCAAACACATCTAAAGGCAGCTGAGAAGTTCTGCTCCTCCACCCATGGTTATGGCCACACTCCAAGTCAGCAGGAACTAGTTACAGAAGAGGGACCTTCATCCCTCAGTGCCCTCCAAGAATGAAGAGCAGGACAAGAGGGAGGAGGGATTTGTCACCAGCAAAGCCCATTAATAGTTCCTGGGAAATAGGATCTGGGTAATAAGGTAAAATCTCATCTTTCTTTCTTTTGTGCTTAGTCTGGTTTCACTTGCTCATAGGGTACAGTATGCAGAGACCTTCCTCGCCGCACTTAAGACCAGAGTTCCTAGTGTGAACCGGCTGTGCCCACCACCTGAGCTGGGCGGGCTGCCTGCGGAAGAGCTGCACGTGACACTGCTGTTCAAGATGGCGGCGACGGGCAGCCGGCAGATGGGCTGCACCTGCGTCGAGGTGGGGAGTTCTCGCGAGAACTCTGCCCTCCGCGCTGACGAGAACCCTATAAAGCAGCCGTCCGTTTGGCTTCGCGGGGCATTTCGGGAGAGCCGAGGTGCCAGAGCGAGAGCTCATGCCGCTCGGTTCTCTGACCAAGGAACTGCTTCCAGACTGAACTCGGTCTCGTTCCGTTCACGTAAGTGAAACGGGGTAGAAGGACTCTTGACTGGGACTGACTCGGGAGGGATGGTAACACAACTGTAAACTGCCCTGGCTACCTGTTTTTGTAAATAAGGTTTTATTGGAGCAGTATTGGCGTCAAGTGCGTGTTTGATAGAAATGCAGAATCTCAGGCCCCACTCCAGAACTTTAATGCATCATTTGCATTTTAACAAGATCATTTGAATGTGTGTTCATTAAAATCTGAACTGCTCTACTGATTTCAGGGAAGGCTAAACTGACATGTGGCTGCTCCAGGCAGGCTAATAATTTGGTGCCTTTAGATATTGTTTAAATATTATTTACTTAATAGAGACAGAAGTTGATTTTTTTAATTAAAATGGATCTCTTCATAGTCAACATAGGAAATTTATTACATGCACTGAATGTAGCATAACATTTAAACTTATTTGGAATGATTTTTTGCTTTACATCTTTTCTGTCGTCTACAGTTGGATAGTCCTTCACAAATGAAGAACATGGGAATATAATTGAGCATTCTTATTCAAAATATATATTTAAGGTTCCTTTTTCTGACTCTCAAATTAGTAACATCCCACTTTGCTGTAGTTCTTGTTTTGTTTGTGGTTTTCCAAACCAGAAAACTTCTTGGGAGGCATGTTAAAGGTTCACTTTTTAAGTAACAGAATGCATCACCCATTCCTGGTAAGTGGCTTCATGTCATTTCAGTATTTCAGGGTTGAGTGGTGTGAGGCTGGAGGCAGGTCAGCAGGCTTGGTGGTGGCCTGGCCCCATATTTCACCATGTAACTTGCAAACTCTTAGCAGCAACTAATTGTTTCTTGAAAAGAAAGAGTTTCCATTTCCATTCCAGATAACTGTCTGCTTCAAAAGAACTAATTTGTATTTTCCAGTTTTGTGAAGATGGTTATGAGGAAACTTGAGCTAACTGGACCATATTTCTGATATTTTTAGGGGATTTCTCTAACATTTTGCTATGAACAGACTTCACGCTGGAAATATTGGCTCCCTGAGAACTACTCAGAATGGAGGCAAAAATTGCAATCTTGCTCCAAGGCTAGTTCGAGTGACAGTGACGCGGGGTAGGTTAATGGGTCTAGGCAACCACTGGGCAATATGCACACCTCACTGCCACTTGATTGTTCCCTTCTGATGCTGCACCCCAAACTCCAGTGGAAAGATGCAGTTTGGAGAGTCAGGAAATCTCAAGATTAATGTTATTATGTGATAACACAACATCCTATAGAACAGCAGTGTCAACAGTGGGTGGGAGGCATATGAGAGCTACCTGGTGAGTTTTCCCCAGTTGCTTTATTTTCACCCTGGGCATGAAGATTTAGAGCGCTAGTGATGGTTCTAATCCTTAGGCCCAAACGGCTGTACATGCTAGTTTACTAAAGGGAAACACGTGCCCTCGTGATGGTCGTTAACGTGAGGGGCTGTGAGGGGCCCGCCCCAGTCCCGGTTTCCCTGGTAACTGATGAGCAACCTGATGTCCATTCCCCCTACACATGGTAGCCTCCTTCACCCCTGAGGAGCGAGGACTGCTGCCTCGTCTTGCCTGCCTGCCGGCCTGTGGCTGTGCACAGTGTGATGTCTCTCAGGACCTTTTACTGCGGACGTGTAAGAACCCCTCTCTGATGAATCTTTGATGTCTCTGTCACTGTGGGCTCTTCGGCTTCAAGGCTGGGCAAGCACAGAGCTTGCAGGCCTGTGAGGTGCAGCCCAACAGTTGGTGAGCCAGCTACGAGGCAGAGGAAGCTCCCATGAGCACTGAGGTGTCGGGAAATAGGGATGGGGAATGAAAGTTGTGGGGGTGATCCTCAAGTGACCGTCCACGAACATGTGGGGCCCCGTGGCACCTGACGACCATGAGAGAGAACGTTCTCTTCCATCTTATTGCTGACATCCTGCTAACCCCAGAGTCTCTTTCCAGTGTGAAAGTAGCAGCCCTGTGCTCATGGCTCATTTGACTGCACAGGGATGGCTGGTGAATAGAGACAAAAATAAAACACACAAACCTGGATTATCTACCAAATACAACCATACCCCCAACCGCCACCCCTGAACAATTACAGATACAGGCTTCAGGGATATTAAATCAAGTATAGGCTTGTGGATTGGACGTGGGCAGTTACCCAGAAGGGTTTGTGGGGCCTGTGGCAATGGCAAAATAAAAGTACCCTTGGCCTTCTGGTCCCAGCTGCAGAAGCGGGCAGAGCAATGATACAGTGTGATGGAACAGCAGCTATATGCCATTGGTGATGCATTACAACAGGTGGGAGATATTACAAAAGGCCTACCAGGGTCATTGAGCAACACACACACAAAAAAATGCTATTCAGGGTCTAGAACAGCTGTGTGGGACATAAGGGCCCCCGTGGACCCATAGCAAACAAGGGATCCGATTTACTGGCCGGGAAGTTCAGGAATGGGCTGATAAAGAGGACACACACTGGCCTTTTCACCTGCCCTACGATCCTTGCTGCTGGACTAATAGAAAGGGTGAATGACTAATTAACAGTTGAAACGAGAAACCCACACTCTCAACGTGTGGGCCAGGAGGCTAACTCAAGCCCTAGAAGCTACAACTGAGCACCCCAGGGGCCGTCACCCCAGGTTTTTGCCGTGTGAACTCAGACAACTAGTCAACACCATCCAAGTTCAACTGCTGGCCACCAAAGGACCGTGGCCCACTTTGGGTCGGGACAGTAACTTACTTTTGCCCTTGCCACAGGATCTCTCTCGAGGGGAGCATGTTGCAAACTGATCCTGGAACTGGCCAGTAAGTCCCCGGTGGTTTGGGTTTGCTGCCATGTGGGGAAGGGAATTAGAACAGGACTAACAGACTTCACCTGTCTTCTACCTAGCCCCACTGAAACTCCTCAGGTAATTAATCTGGGCCCCTACTGGGGAAAGGCACCATTACGTTGGCTCTGTGGTCTTGTACTGCCTCTCCAGAGTTTGACGCTGGCTGTGGGGATTGAGGGTGAACAGGCAGTATGTTACCGTGGGCGGGGGGGGGCACAGGCAGGGGTGGCATTATCTCAGGATGCTGTTATACTTGCATTTCGCTTAATGGTCACTAAATGCTCTTTGTGACCCTGTAACCCACGGCTGCGTCCCCTGCGCCACGCAAGACCTCTGATGGCAGAGTCCGCCTTGTCCTTGTAGCTCCGCTGTACTGTGCCTTCCTTATATTTGGTCCCAAGTCTGAACAGAGGGAATCTATTTGAGGACTGGGGCACAACTGTGGCCTCACTGCAAAGTGAGTCTGATTGCTGGGTCTACAGCGAGATGCCCTTGTCCTCTGGACTTCCATGAAAAATTGACCCAAAAAGCGTCTGGTGTTTTCTCGTTACTCTTCAGCTGCTGTCGTTGGTATTGCATTTGTGGTATTTGGCTGCAGAGCACCTCCACATACTTGACCCCAGAGATCTCTGGGTGAAGAGGGTGAACCAAGATTGTAAGGGTCGTACAGGGTATGTAGGGGTGGAGCATATGGTCAGGCCGCTCAAGATGGCTGTTCTCTTGCTCCTTGTATATTCCCTGCTTCGCCTACACCTTACTCATGTGAATGTGCGGGCTCCCTGCGCCAGCGAGTGATCATTCTAATCCTTAGGCCAGAACGGCTGCACCTGCTAGTTTACTAAAGGGAAACACCTGCCCTCGTGATGCTCATTAACCTGAGGGGTTGTGAGGGACCCGCCCCAGTCCATGTTTCCCTGGTAACTGATGAGCAACCTGACGTCCATTCCCCCTACACACAGTAGCCGCCTCCTCCCCCGGGTAGTAAAGATTGCTTCCAGGATCTGCTTGCCTTTGGCTGTCCGTGGTGGGGTGTGTCTCTAGGGCCTTTTGCTTCAGACTTGGAAAGCCAATCTTAACAAAACCCGTTGATGCCTCTGTTGCAGTTTCTGGGCTCTTTGGCCTCGAGGCTGGGCAACTGCAGGGCTGGCTGGCCTGCGGAGGACAGCCCAGTAGCCAGGCGCCGAGCTGGGCAGCGGAGCTACAAGGACAAGGCGGACTCTGCCATCAGAGGTCTTGCGTGGTGCAGGGGACGCAGCCGTGGGTTACAGGGTCACAAAGAGCATTTACTGATGGTGGAGGGAGGTGGGGGAAAGGGAAGCAGAGGGCTGAGCAAGGTGTGCTTCATCCTCTCCTCTGACTTCAGTTGGTTGCTGGGAGAGCGGAAGGGAGACTAGGTCTTGAATCACGAATGTTAATTTGTAGCTTTACAGGTTCCTGCTTTGCTTTCATGTGCTGTATTCTAACCCTTCTTATTTTGGCCTGTACCATGAAGTGAGTCCACGCTGTGTTGTCAGGTCAGGTTTTAGTCTCAGTTCTACCTCTCTGGGTAAGAGACCTTTGGTAAGACACCTGGACTCATGCATGATGAGGATTATAATTACCAAGGATTGACATGCGGTTTAGAGGTACACCATTCACAAGTGCTTTTTAAAACTTGGGGTGTTATATATTATATATGTATTATTATATATATAAATCTATATATATTAGGATTATGTAATACTGCTTCTGTGAGGGCATAGCAAAGGTGTTGATTATTAAACCTAAAGTACCGATGAGGAAAACAAAACTCAGACACTAAGGAGCTGGCCCTGGCCAAATAGCTGAGAAAGGAAACTGAGACTAGAACACAGCTTGCTTTTTATTTTGAACCTTTTTATTAAGATATAGTTGATGGACAATATTATATAAGTTACAGGTGTACAACATAGTGACTGACAATTTTTAAAGGCTATTCACCATTTATAGCTATTATAAGATACTGGCTATCTTCCCTGTGCTGTGCAGTATATCCTGGTAGCTTGTTTATACATAATAGTTTTTCCCTTTTAATCATATACCCCTATATTGCCCCACCCCACCTTCCCAGGCCCCACTGGTGCCCATCTGTTTGTTACCTATATCTGTGAGTCTGTTTCCTTTGGTTATTTCACTAGATGGTTGTATTTTTCAGATTCCACATATAACTGACATCATAAAGTGTGTCTTTCTCTGACTGAATTCACTTAGCATAATACCCTCCAGGCCCACACATGTCACAAATGGCAAAATTTCATTCTTTTTTATGGCTGAGTAGTTCTTGAATGTGTGAGTGTGTATACCACATCTTCATGCATTCATCTGATGGACACTTAGGGTGCTTTCATATCTTCGGGATTGCAAATAATGCTCCTATGAACAGTGCGGTGCATGTACCTCTTTGAATCAATGTTTTCATTTTTTTCGGATATATACCCCAGAGTAGAATTGCTGGGTCATCTGGTATTTCTAGTTTTAGGGTTTTTTTTTTTGTTTTCTACGGTGGCTGCATCAATTTACATTCCCACCAACAGTATACCAGTGTTCCCTTTCTCTACATCCTTAAACATTTATTTGTAGGGTTTTTGATGATAACCATTCTGATAGGAGTGAGGTGATGTCTCATTGTGCTTTTAATTTACATTTCTCTGATTAGCAATGCTGAGCTTCTTTTCACGTGCCTGTTGGCCATCTG